TTCCACTCACTCTTTCAAACCAAAAGAGTTACTCTTCTAAAAAAGATTGGCAAAGCATAGGACTACCAGGAATTAATTGGCATTGCTGTTAGTTCTATAATTTACTACAGCCTTAAGCAAATTACTGACACTTGCTCTTCTCCAGACCTGAAAATGGGGTTCGGGTAATTAACAACTCAGAACAAGCATTATGAGAACTAATTAGTTACTGCTTACAAAACACTTTGAACATTAACAGGGAGAGTGCCCTCACTATGATGATTACACACCCCCACTCCAGTGGCCTTCTAGATACTTCCATCCCTGCCTAGCTCACACTTGTACACTGAGTCCCCCTCTCCTTTTCCTGGGGGGATTGGTTCCAGGATCCCTGTGGAGTCCAAAATTCAAAGATGCTCAAGTCCCTTATGCAAGTCTATACATAATGTTGCAAACAACCTATACACATCTAAAACCTTGTCAGCTCTCGGTTTCTTACAATATCTTTTTTTTTTTTTTTTAAGATTTATTTATTTAAGGAGAGGCAGAGAGAGAGAGACAGAGGTCTTCCATCTGCTGGTTCACTCCCCAGATGGCCTCAACAGCCAGAGCTGCACTGCTCCGAAGCCTGGAGCCAGAAGCCTCCTCCGAGTCTTCCCCATGGGTGCAGGGGCACAAGGACCTGGGCCATCTACCGCTGCTTTCCCAGGCCATAGCAGAGAGTTGGATTGGAAGTGGAGCAGCCAGGACTCAAACTGGCATCCATATGGGATGCCGGCACTGGAGGCGGTGGCTTTACCCACTACACCACAGCACCAGCTTCTGGTTACTTACAATATTTAACACTGGGGACTGGCGCTGTGGCATAGCTGCCACCTGCATGCCGACATCTCATATGGGCACCAGTTCCAGTCCCAGCTGCTTCACTTGCAATCCAGATCTCTGCTATGATCTGAGAAAGCAGTGGAAGATGGCCCAAATCCTTGGGCTGCTGCACCCATGGGGGAGACCCAGAAGAAGCTCCTGGCTCCTGGCTTCGGATTGGCCCAGCTCTGGCCACTGTAGCCATTTGGGGAGTGAACTAGGGGATGGAAGACCCCTCTCCCTCTCTCTCTGTCTCTCTCTCTGTCTCTACCTCTACCTCTCTGTAACTCTGCCTTTCAAATAAATAAATCTTTAAAAAAATCTAACATTGGATAAATGCTATGTAGGTAGTTCTTACACTACATTGTTTAGGGAATAATGATAAGAAAAAGTCTACACATTCAGTCCAAGGACAGTTGTTTTCAAATACTTTCCACGTAAGGTTAGCTGAATCCACAGCTGCAGAACTCACGGATGTGGAGAGATGACTGTTCCTGGTTAGCAAAGCTGGAAGCCCAGACGTCATCTTTAACTCTTGTTATCTCCACACATACTCCCAAGTCCCATCCATTCTACCTCCAGAAGCTACCTGCATCCACTCACACCTGCCCTTCCTTGGTTTCCTTCAGCCCACCATCTTGTCTAGCACCAACAACTGTAGCAATTGGCTAATCGGCCTCCCCCTTTTCCATCTTGGTCCTCGTCCATGCATTTGTCACACAGAAGCCAGGATGCACTTTAGAAATAGAAACCACTACAGGCCATTCTCTACTTAACACTCTTCAGTGGCTGACTGCCTATTGCAAAGCACAACTCCTTACCATGCCATGATGATCAACTCAACCTCTTTTGCCCAGGATTTTCTTCTTTGAAAAATTATTTATTTTCATATTATTTGAATATTTCATGTTTCATATTATTTGAAGATCTTTCATTTGCTGGTTCATTCCCCAAATGCCTGCAACAGCCAGAGCTGGGCCAGGCAAAAGCCAGGAGCTTAGAGTTCCTTCCAGGCCTCCCATGTGGCAAGGACCCAACTACTTGAGCCATCACCCATTGCCTGCCACCGTGCACATTAGCAGGAAGCTGAGCTGGGAGCAGAAGAGCCAGGACTTGAATCAGGCACTTCCGCATGGTTGTGGGGGTCCCGAGTGGTGACCTAACAGCTGTGCTGAGTGCCTGCTGCTGCCCAGTGCTTTCTAGGACTTTTAGCACTGAATGTCTTGCATCCCAGGACACCCTCAGTTCTGAACAAGTCAGGACAATTGTTCACTCTGTGGCCTCTCAGGCCTCACTCATGGGCAGGAGACCTGCCTGCCTTGTGGCCTTGTCTCATGCCATTGCCACTACATGTATCACATATTGGCCTTGGTCAGCTTCTGGAATGTTCTGACCCTTCTCATGCTCAAGACCTTGACGGCTGCACTTGCCCCTTTCATCTGGAAGGTTCTTCCCATGTTGGATTTTTCTCATCCTCTAAGGCTCACCTTAAATGCCCCAGAAAAATCTTCCCTGATCCAAATTAACTCAGTGGTTCCTATGTGTTGTTCTCTATCATAGTGCTCTTCCAGATCCTTTCCAGCCCTTGTTAATAGTTAAAAGGGGAAGAATTTTTTCCTTATATGCCAACACTTTTGACACCAAGTGGATTTTTCCACACCAAGCAATTCTTCAATTCTCTGTGGACACCAACTGGGTTTCCTACAATTTAACTGAGTTCTGACACCAACTCAACTCAATCTCTGACCCTTATCGTGTCCCCAGAGGCTGGGTGGTAGGGATGGAAGTTCCAACTCTGTAATCACATGACCGGTTCCCTTGGCAACCAGCCTCCCTCCCTAGGGACTCTCCAGAGTCACCTCATTAACATAAACTCAGGTGTGGTTTAAAGGAAAACGAGACTTCCTTCACCTTGTCACTTAGAAAATCATGGGCGTTTTAGAAGCTGTGGTAGGAACGGCATAAAGACCTAACATATATTTCTTACTCTATCACAGTATCGCATTGGTTTTGATTCATTTTCCATCTGTTTCCCATCTTTAGGATGTAGAGGGCAGGAATTGCATTGTTTACTGTAGTATCCCCAGCATACAGCGTATGCTCAGAAAATATTTACTGAACCAACAACTTTGTAGTCTTGAGTCTTTCCTCAGCAAACAACAGGTTGATCCAGACCTGGTAGGGAGAGAGATTAAGGGCTGGAAAGTACCAGAATATCTGGTCAACCTGGCTCCTCCCCAGCCACTGCTGGGGACTGAGAGCTGACCTCAAATGGACCTCAAAGAAATTTTGTTTTATCTGGAGGCCTACAATGGGTTGAAGGACTTGCCCTAAATTACACACTCAGTTTACATTTAACACAGGGCTAAAACCAATATTTCCTGATTCTCTACAAACCGAGTTCTAACTTCAAAGAATCTTAGCGCAGGAAGAAATCCTCCAGCCCCTCCCAACAGGACTCCATTATCTCCAATGAAAGATAAGACATCTGGAGCCAAGTGAAATCAATGACTTCTCCAAGGTCGCATGACCACCGAGAGGCAAGGACAGGCTTTATTCTTATACACAGTGTCTCATTGTAATCTTTATTCTGGTTTTTGTACAATGATGCAAGTAACTTTCCTTACTGAACTGATTAGCGCATGCTATGGGGGAGGGGAAGAGACGGATTAGGAATGGGGTGACAATTTGTCAGGAGTGACAAATTATTTAATCAGATGCAAGGCTTTTGTTCTGGATTCATGAATCCATTTGGTGACTCTCTGAGTCCTTACTCTGTGCCATGAATTTTTCTGTACCCTAGGGATACAGCAATGAATAAACCAAGCATCCCAGCTCCCTCTTAGATATTACATTCTAGTTCAGGAGAGGCAACAACAAGTGTGTGTGTGTGTGTGTGTGTGTGCGTGTGCATGCACGCGCACACACACGCTATTTATTTAGAGAGACAGAGAGATCTTCTAATCTTGCATCCACTGGTTCAATCCATAAATGCTTTCACTAGTCAGGGCTGGGCCAGGCCAAAGCCAAGAGCCCAGAACTCAATCCAAATTTCCCACATGGTGGGGTGGCAAGGACCCAAGTACTTGAGCCATCACCTGCTGCCTCCAGGGTGCACACCGGCCCCCAGGAAACTGTGCGGGAAGTGGGGCCAGGACTCCCCTATGGGATGCAGGCATTCCATGTGATGACTTAATTCTGCACCACATACCCACCCTGCATAAATAGATATATTTCTAAATGTCAGGCATACCAGGTTGTCACGGGGTGGGGGGTGGGGGTGAGGGCGGGACAAAGCAGGGAAAGGAGAGTGGCCTGTGGTGGGGGAAGACACTCCAGCGGACAGACCGCTGAGGGAGGGAAGCGCAGGAGTTAGAACGCTCCATCCATACCAGGAGGAGCAGAGGGGAAGGGGCCCCCAGGCAGGCTCGGCAGTGCTGGAGGAGTGGCGTGAACGCAGAGGAGAGGAGGAAGGTCGCCTAGGGCAGCCGGGGCCACCTCCTAAAGGGAACTGCTCTTGGAGGCTCCTCCTCCTCCAACTGGGGCGCCTTCAGGAAGCCGACAGTTCCGCGGCCCGGCCCTGGAGAGCTGCGTTTGCGCGTGGGCTGCAGCGGTTAACAAGGCCGCACATGCCTCTTCCCCTAACTGCGTCTTGCTGTGAGAATGTTAATCTGGCTAAATCCATTCAGCTTCACCGGTTTGGAAACCGGTCACCTGGTGCTCACCGTGAAAGGGGGCGTGGAGCCAGCGACGGCGGCCACGCCCACGCGACAGGATCTCCGCAGAAACCCAGGCCATTGTTCAGCCAGTAGTTTCATGTTGGTTTCTAAAAATAAGTAAGTGTCTGAGTCATCCTTTTCTCAGCCAGAGAGAGCTTTATTCCTTGTTCATCTCGAGCTCCTGGCTGGTGAACTCAATACTTAACAGCCCCGTGGGTGGGTCTGCCTGCCTACGTCCAACCTTGCCCTAACCACATTCGTGAGACGGGCTTTACCCAATGGCCTTCAGTCCTCTGAGCCTTCAGTCCCCTCCTCTGGGGCAGGGGAGCACTAATGCTGCATTTGTTCTCCGGGGCTGGGTAACAAGGCAGCCCGTGAGAACAATACCCACCCGTGTCCCACCACCTGCACGCAGCGCACGGGTCCCGCGCGGCCTACCTGCGCTCTCTGCTCAGTCTCCCCAGACTGGAAACGAGGTGCCGGGCAGCTGCGTGCGCACCTAGAACCGCGGCTCGTCTCCTAAGTTCCTTCTGCTTATGGGCAGAATCCAGGTCCTTGAAGTTGTAGAAGTGAGGTCCCCGCTCCTTGCTGGCTCTCCGCAGGGGGCCTCTCTCAGCTCTCTAAGGCTCCCACATTTTTTTCTTAAGGTCCCTGCAAGGATAGGCCAGTCCTCCTCACACTTCCATGTCCCGATCTCTGTTCTCAGCGGGAGAAAGCACTCTGTTCTTTCTTAGGGCTTGTGTGATTAGATTAGCTCCACCCAGATAATCAGACTTTCTGAGGGTCAGCTGAGCTGTAGGACATATTATCATCACCACAGTGAAACCTCATCATACTGCTTTCAGAGATGAGGCTGGGACATTTTAAAAATTTTGCCTATAGGGGCCGGTGCTGTGGCATAGCAGGTAAAGCCGCTGCCTGCAGTGCCAGCATCCCATATGGGCGCCGGTTCGAGCCTGATCCAGCTCTCTGCTATGGCCTGGGAAAGCAGTAGAGGATGGCCCAAGTCCTTGGGCCCCTGCACCCATGTGGGAGACTGGGAAGAAGCTCCTGGCTCCTGGCTTCAGATTGGCGCAGCACCAGCCATTGCAGCCATCTGAGGAGTGAACCAGTGGATGGAAGACTCTCTCTCTCTCTCTGCCTCTCCTTTTCTCCCCATGTAACTCTTTCAAGTAAATAAATAATTATTTTTTAAAAAGTAAAATAAAAATTTTGTCTATAACAAATACCGTCCTCCCAGAACTTTCTGGAAAACTAGATAATCAATCTATGTAAAATAACCATCAATTTAGTAGTTACTATTTATTACGCAGGGTCCTATCAGTACAGACAGCAGATGAGAATCCAAGCTACTAGGGAATCAAGTAGAAGACCAGACCCCAAATTGTCTATGGCAAATACCTATTATCTTTCTTATATTTGTGGATGTTAAAATAGTATTTCCCGGGCCAGTGCTGTGGTGTAGTGGGCTAAGCCTCAGCCTGTGGTGCTGGCATCCTATATGGGCACCAGTTCTAGTCCCAGCTGCTCCTGTTCTGATCCAGCTCTCTGCTATGGCCTGGAAAAGCAGATGGCCCAAGTGCTTGGGCCCTTGTACCCACATCAGAGACTCGGAAGAAACTTCTGGCTCCTGGCTTTGGATTGGCTCAGCTCCGGCTGTTGTGGCCATTTGAGTAGTGAACCATTGATGGAAGACTTTTCTCTGTCTCCCCTCATCTCTGTAACTCTACCATTCAAATGAATAAATAAGTAAATAAAAATGGCATTTCCCACATGAGAATTACCCTGTTTTTACTGGAGCATTGACTTGATGACTGATTTTTATGTACTTTAAAGGTAGATACAGAGAGAAAGATCTCTTCTACCTGTGGGTTCACTCCCCATATGCTCGCAGAAGCCAGGAATTGGGAAAAGATGGGATGGCAGGGACCAACTATCTGAGCCATCACCCCGCTGCTTCCCCAGGTGCACACTAGCAGAGACCAGGCATTAGGAAGAGCCGGGACTCTAAACCCAGAAACTCCAATACCCCGTGAAGAGTCATAATCACCATGCAAAAACCTGCCTCTGGAAGTGCTGTACGTCCCAGCTTACAAGAAAAGGCTGAGTGCTTCGGCTGTCTTCTGAATACACTCCTTTTCTTTCCCTTAGCAAGTCCTGCGACCAAGCAGCCTCCGGTTCCTCCTTCCCATGTACTCTGGTAGAATTCGTTTATGCAGGACTTTCAGCCAGGCTTTTAGAGTAGAGGTGCCCACTGAATTACAGGAACCTACTCAAAGCCCTTAGCCTTACAATGGGAACAGATGAGCTCTATGTATTATTGGAGGCCCAGAAAAAATTCAAAATAGGTGTGGGGTGGGGTTCCGAATTGAGATCAGCATATGACTACGTGTGTTGGCTCTATTGAAACAGTAGGCCCTTTCAAGTACTGGGGACATTTTAGACCTGGAGGTGTCCCCGTCCTTACCAGGGAATGTTGTGATCGATTCCAGTCAAAATTAATAGAAACTAAGACCGAATTTTTATATGTTTCACGTAGGCTTTCGTTTGAGTAGTCTCTAAAAATTCTGCCTTGCTTCTCCGATTTGAATTTTGGACATTGCACATTTCAGACCTTTGTGGTGCACTGGCTCCTACCTCAAAGACAGCGACTCAGCAGAGGGCACATCTGCGTCTGTTCCCAAAGACTTGAGATGGTGCCGGGCTCGAGACGGGAGAGAAGTTGCGCACCTGTGCTGGGGGGACCAGGTGTCTGGGCTCTTTCTCCTGCGTTGCATAAACGATCATGCTCAGTGTAATGGAGGGATGTGAGATGAATTTGTTTTCCCTAGAGTCCTCTTTCAGGGAGGAACTCAATGTCACTGAAATATTTAGCTCCCTTTTCTTTAATCTCCATGTCAGCCTCTACATAACCTCTCAGTTCTCTGGAGTCTCTAGGAAGTGCTCTTCGCTGACCATGAGTGACCCCCAGGCAGTGGTGGACGGTCCCCTGGGAGATGGCGAGAGTGCTGTGTGCTGCCTGGCGTGCTGTGGCTCCTGTGTCCCCTCACCAAGTGCCACCTGTGGTACTCTCTTTGCCTAGGGTATTCACTCATAATCGTATACTTTTTGTTGATGGTTGATGCCCTTTCCACTGATGTCAACTTACACATTATTTTGACTCCACACGCCCAGTAGTCGTGTATTCCAAAGCCACTGGACCACCTGAGTGCCACTCTGGAATGGGTATTCCGGGTGGGGAGCCTGCGGTGTGACTCCCAGGGCTTCTTGCAGCCGACCCTGACTGTCGCGTATTTACATGGACCACGGTGACATCCAAAAGAAAAGTGCTTTTATATTTATAGATTATTTCATTGAGCTATATATAAAATGGGTATCAATAAATGTATTTACTCTAAAAAAAAAGAGAGAGAGAGAAAGAGAGTAGGGCCATAGTTTTCTCAATCATGGGCAACACTGCGGCCACAAACAAGTATACACTGTGGAACTACACTGCTAGGGTTCAAATCTTGCCACTTTCTATTTATTTACCTGAAAGGCAGAGCAACAGAGAAGAGAGAGAGAGGGAGAGAAGCAGAGAGGGAGAAAGAGAGAGAGAGAGCGAACGAGAGAGAGAGAGAGAGAGAGAGGGAGAGATGGAAAGAATCTTCCACCTTCTGGGTTACTCTCCAAATGTCTGTAACAGCCAGGGCTCAGCTAGGCCAAAGCCATGAGCCAGAAACACCATCCTGGCCTCTCATGTGAGGGGCAAGGGCCTACCTATGTGGGCTGCTTGGGAGGCCCATCCCAGCTTCCTGCCCATGTGCATCCTGGGAAGCAGCAGGTGATGGCTCATGTGCTTGGCTTCCTGAAACCATCCGGGAGGCTTGGATTAGGTTTCTGGCTCCCGACTTTGGCTTGGCCAACCACTGGCTGTTGTGGGTGTTTGGGGAGTGAGCCAGTGAATGAAAGATTTCTTTCTCTCTCTACTTTTCAAATAAATAAAAATAAATTTAAAATTGAAAAGAAAAAAAAAGAGAGAGAGAAAGAACTGCTAGGAAGTAGCAAAGGGGTTCTCTGCTTCCCTGGCTGAAACTACGCTCCTGCAAGAAAGTGGCATGCACTTTTCAAATTATGTTTTATTTGTTTTTTGAATTGGCAAAAACACATCCTTCCTACCAAAGAGTGGAAAGTGTGAACAATAAAGAGCAAGTTTTCCTCTTACTCAAGACATCAGACACTGAGCTTCCGGAAGCAGTCGTCGACACCCGTCTCTCCCACATCTTTCAGACCTCAGCACACACTAAGGTAGATTCATATATAAATACACCATACAGACCACTGTCACAGATACATTCTTTTTTTTTTTTATTAACATGTATTTATTTATCTGAGAGGCAGAGTTACAGAGAGAGGGAGAGACAGAGAGAGAGGTCTTCCATCTGCTGGTTCACTCCTCAAATGGCCACAATGGCCAGAGCTGGGCTGATCCGAAACCAGGAGCCAGGAACCACATGGGTGCAGGGGCCCAAGGACTTGGGCCATCTTTCACTGCTTCCCCAGGCCATAGCAGAGAGCTGGATCGGAAGTGGAGCAGCTGGGATTAGAACCGGCGCCCATATGGGATGCTGGCACTGCAGGCAGAGGTTTAACCTAGTACTAGTACTCCTTGTACCCCAAGTACTCCTTCCCCCTGCCAACAGATATATTCTTTTTTTTTAAGTTTAGAATTTTTTTAGCCTAGAAACCCTTTATTTAAAGTATACAATTCATGAATTTCATATACACAAATTTGGGAACATAGTGATTCTTTCCACCCTACTCTCCCCCTCACTCACACCCCCACCCTTCTTCCTCCTCTCTCTCCTATTCCCATCCTTGCTTTTCAACAAAGATATATTTTCAGTTAACTTTATACTCATAAGATTAGGAGCCGGTGCTGTGGCACAGCAGGTTAACGCCCTGGCCTGAAGCACCAGCATCCCAGATGGGCACGGGTTTGAGGCCTGGCTGCTCCACTTCCTATCCAACTCTCTGCTATGGCCTGGGAAAGCAGCAGAAGATGGCCCAAGTCCTTGGGCCCCGGCACCTGCGTGGGAGACCCAGAAGAAGTGCCTGGCTCCTGGCTTCATATCGGCGCAGCTCTGGCTATTGCGGCCAATTGGGGAATGAACCATTGGATGGAAGACCTCTCTCTCTCTATGCCTCTCCTCTCTCAGTGTAACTCTGACTTGCAAATAAATAAATAAATCTTAAAAAAAAGATTAACTTGGGTTGCGGGTGGGAGGGACGTTATGGGGGGGAAGCCATTGTAATCCATAAGCTGTACTTTGGAAATTTATATTCATTAAATAAAAGTTTGAAAGCAAAAAAAAAAAAAAAAAGATTAACTCTACACTAAGTAAAGAATTCAACAAATAGAATGAATAAAAAACAAACACTGCTCCTTAACAGTGGAGACAAAGAGCTGTTCAAAATCATAGCATCCCAAAGTGTCACTTTCACTTCTATGGATTACCTTTTAGGTACTCTGTTATTTACCACAAATCAGAGAGAACATGTGGTATTTATCTTTTTGGGACTGGCTTATTTTGCTAAATATAATGGTTTCCAGTTACATCCATTTTGTTGCAAAAGAAAGCACTTCATTTTTTTTTTACTGCTGTGTAATGTACACATACTATCATTTAATGTACATATA